AAAAAAAAAAAAAAAAAAAAAAAAAAAAAGAAAGAAAAGAAAAGAAAAAGAGAAAGAAAAACAACAAAAGCAGGAGCACAATACTGATATCGGATGAAGTAGCAAGCAAACCACTGCAGGGAAGGGCTTTTGAACTATTTTTCTCAATCCATTTGTAAAAATGAAAAGAAAATAAAAAGAGAAACTAATGCATCTGATTACATGATAGAGTAAATGGCAGAAAAAGGCAACATGATAGAAAACATAAAATCAAGACAATTGACAAATTAGGAAAAATATTTGCAATACTTAAAACAGATAAAGGGCTACTATCCCTAATACATAATAAATCTTAAAGATTAGGGGGAAAAACACTCACCAGTGGAAAAATGGCAAAAAACATATAAAAAATTCACAAAAATTGATACGAAAGTGGTCCTTAAACATTAAAAAGTATTCAACTATCCTGCTAAAGAGTGAGCAATACATAGCCAAATTACACAGAGGTAACGTTTCTCACCATCTTACTGTCACAAAGAGGTCACGGGAAAATAGGCCTGTCATACACTGCAGTGGTCATACACAATGGTACAACCTTCACAGAGGGGTTTTTACCAAAACTACATATGCATTTACATTCTGACACAACATTACCACTTCCAGAAATTTACTCTGAAAATATACCTGCAATAACATGAAATACATACCGATTTTTCATATTTCCCTTTAAACACTGTAATTACAAAACATGGAAAATAATCCATATGCCCATAGATAGAAGAAGAGTGGTTTAGTAAATTCTTATACGTTTCCCCAGTGGAGTAATATAAGACAATTTTTTAAATGAGGAAGATCTCTATGAACAAATCTGCAGTGATTGCCAGGGTGTATTTTAAATGAAAAAGGCAAAGTTCACGTAATTATTTAGGGAATGCTAATTTTTGCATAAGAAAGAACAGGAGGTAAGAAAATAGACATATATTTGTTCCTCTGTGCAAACAGGAACATAGGAAGAATTTACCAGGGATTAATGAAATTTATTATCTATAGGGGATGGACGGGAATGAGGTGGAAAGAACAAACAATGGGAAAGGGGAGAGTTGCTAATTCTCTGAGTATAGTATTTTGTGTAGCTCTGACTTCAGGAACAGTGTTGCTGTTTCACATACATAAAAGGAAAAAACCAAAACTACCATGGATGGAGGAAAAATCATTAAAATAAAATACTGTCAGAACTATACAAACTTCACTACATTTCAAATGAAGTACTACATATACTGAAGGGAGGAGAAGAGTCTCTATTCACCCAGGTAACTTTATATTATTTTTTAAATTGAGATATGATTCACATAATATTTACCCTTTTAAAGTGTAGTTCAGTGGATCTTGCATGTTCACAAAGGTGTGCAATCAACACTATTCAATTCCAGAACGCGTTCATCTTTCTAAAAATAAATGTCAGACCCATTAGCAGGCACTCACTCTTCTTTCCTCTCCCAGCTCCTGGTAATCACTAATCTATTTTCGTTCTCTATGGATTTACTTATTTTGGACATTGCATGTAAGCGGAACCGTACTGTGTGTTTGGCTTCTTTCAGTTAGCATTATATTCTCAAGGTTCATCCATCCATGTTGTAGTGTGTATCAACAGTTCTTTCCTTTTTATGCCCAAATCTCAGTCCATTGTATGTATAAATCACAGTTTACTCATCATCAGATGATGGATGTTTCGGTTGTGTCTTTTTCTTTAAGCTATTATGCCACTATGAACATTCACATTCAAGTTTTTATGTGAACATGTTTTCAATTCTCTTGGACACTTACGGCTATAGGTGAAAATTCTGGGTGACATGAGACTTTCATCATGCCTATGTTGGTACATCTGATAGCATCCCACAGATCTGAGCAACTGTTCATTAGTTTTGGGCTTTTCTTCATAATTTCTATCTGATTGTTGATGTTCTCTATTAGGTGAGACATTGTTCTCAGACTTCCTTTTAGCTCTTTAGGCATAGTGTACTTTGGTTGAACATATTTAAAATAGTGTCTTCACTGTCTTTTTTGAGTCTGAAGTTTGGGCTTCCTCAGGGAGTTTCTATTCATTTTCCCCCCTATCAGTGCATGAACCATTCTTGCTTGTTTTTGTGCATGTCTGATAATTTTTTGTTTAAAATTGGACATTTTAAGTTAACATAATGTTACAACTCTGTAAATCAGATTCCCTTCCCTCACCAGGTTTTGCTCTTGTTGCTATATTTTGGTGTTTAGTGAACTTTCTGACTACTTATGTGTAAAGTCTGTATTCTTTGTTGTGTATGAAATATCTGATTAATATGCTTAGTAGTGTGCTAATAACTGGACAGAGATTTCCCTAAATGCCTGGAATCAATACTTCTCTTTGTACTGGGGACTCTGTGTGTTGGGGCACACCTTTACTACTTCGCCCCAAGTTAACAGCTTTTCCTTAGCCTTCTCTTATTTATGCACTGCCTCAAAGTCAGCCACTGGCGAGAGTTTAGGGCCTTCTCAGATTTTCCTGGCCATGTACACAGCTTTATGCACGTACATAATCTCCTTGATTCTAAAAAAATGTCATAACTTATTAAAGTCCCTATCTTTTAGTTGTTTAGTTACCTTTCTGATCTATTTATGTGTAAAGTCTATATTCTTTATTGTATATGGTCATTGAAATTTCTGATTCATTAAGCTTAGTAGTGTTGTTACTTTGGTTAAAAAAAGAATAATAGAAAAAAAGCAACAGAAGTTCCCCGAGGAAGCCCAGACTTCAGACTTATTCAAAAAAGACACGAAAGATGCTATTTTAACCTACTTTTTGGTTAACTTACTGTTACCCCAACTGTTACTCACTGCCTAAGATAGACTTGATGTGTGTGTGTGTTTTTTTTTTTAAATGCTTCTAATTGTTTCTGAAAACAATCTCTGGGAAAAAGCTAATCTCATTGGGTAAGCTCTAACTCAGATGAAACAAAGACAGCAAGTCAAGTTTTCCAGTGAACCATCAGACAGGTCAAATAACGATAGTTCTCACGGAATGTCCAACCTAAGAAACTCCAACCCTGCTTTGAACTTCTTCCAGTGGCTGCCAGGCTGCTGTTTTGCGTTATGATCATGGGCTGTTGGTTTTCACAACTACCATGAATCTAGGAAGCAGGAGATTAGAATAGAGCTAGGTTTCACAATGATCCCTATTCTTATCAAGATTTAATTCAAGATTCAAGATTTATTTTTTCTTTAGTAAATACTTCTTAAATTGCTGCAAGCGTTTGGTTAATTCTAGAGTTCTGAAAAAGTTGATTCTGATAGTTTGGACAATTTTCTTATTGCTTTTAGAGACAGAATTATTTTTGGATGTTCGTACTCTGCCATTTTCGCTGTTATTACCCCAGATAACTTTTAAAGAGCTCTAAACAAATATTGAACCCTTTGGCTAGTAGGCTTCTGTTATGCAGAGCTATCACTTAGCAACTCTGAAACTAACTTATGTATGTATGCTAGGGTTGAACTTTCAAAATATGTAAATATATCTTTGATAATGGTAATCTATTTTCTCACTATTAGAGAAAGGACTTACATGTCAAAAGGACATGGCTCCCACTGGCCAAATTAAGTAGAATTTGAGCATCAAAATAAATAATGAAGGACTTATATTTTGACCATTAAAGAATAATAGGGACTAGATTTTCCCTTCTATATTAAACTAGAAAACTGGACAACGTATACCAAACAACAGTTTTCAGAAAGTGGACAACAGGTGGCAAAGGATAACTATACCTGACAGAAGAAAAACAAATGAGTTGAGTGCTGCAAGTACGCCAGCTCACTGCCTGAAGTTTCTAGACTGTAGTGCAGAGAGAACCCCAAAGAGCTCAGTGGCCTTATTGACATTAGAGACAGACTTCAGAGTTCAGAAAGGCCAATGTGATTAGAATTTGTGAGGCAAAATACTAGAGGAAGGAAATACACAGAAAAAGTGCTCCAAAGATCTGTAGAAGGGTTCTTTCAAGTCTTCAGGAGAACAACCTGTGCATGATGTACAAAGAATACACTAAGGCCAGGAAAAAAACCGAAATACTAGAAAGGAGTTAGTGGAACTATGCCTTACACAAACCCAAGTATAGTTTGTGTTCTGACCAGCCACTGCAGAACGATTTCCTAAAAGGTAAAGTATCAGGTAGAGTAACGCCTCGTACTGAAGTCATTGAACCTAGTCGATGAACCCTAGACCAGGGTTTCTCAACTTTAGCACTGTTAGCATTTTGGCCTATAAAATTCTTTGTGTATATATATTACAGACAGTTTAGCAGCATCCTTGGCCTGTATCTGCTAGATGTAGCCACCTCCCACCCCTCACCCTTGACTATTTGAAATATTTCCAGATGATGTTACCAAATGTTCCCTGGGGGGGTTGAAAATTGCTCCAAATTGAGAGCCAATTACCTAGACTAATGATTTTTCTAGACACATTCTAACAGCACAAACTTCAAAATGACCAATCTGATTCTAAGTAACTTCATTGCATCTCAGAACAAAGTCCAACAGTACTTATAACAAAATCTAATAGCTAACAACTAACACATTTAACTCTCTTCCCTCTTAAGTTTTTACTTGGACCCTAACTCCTTTCAGTTGGGGTAAAAAGTCTTGGACAGACTTAGCAGTGTGAAGGATAGTGACCCCAACTTGACAGTCTGGCAAACTCTGGGTAGGTACAGAGACATTTTCCTGTTACTTTTTTTGTCAGTCTGAAATTATATCAAAATAAAATTTAAAAGAAAGAAGTACAAAAACAATTTATGCATTCAACACAGCAAACATAATTTTCTCTCTGCATAATCTTTTGAATTCCATCATTCTATTTATCTAAGTTCTTTTTTTTTTTTTTTTTTTTTTTTAGACAGAGTCTCACTGTATCATCCAGGCCGGAGTGCAATGGTGTGATCTCGGCTCACTGCAATCTCTGCCTCCCAAGTTCAAGTGATTCTCATGCCTCAGCCTTCCGAGTAGCTGAAATTACAGGTGCTCACCACCACACCTGGCTAATTTTTTATATTTTTAGTAGAGATGAGGTTTCACCATATTGGCCAGGCTGGTCTTGAACTCCTGGCCTCTAGCGATCTGCCTGCCTTAGCCTCCCAAAGTACTGAGATTTCAGGCATGAGTTACCACACCCAACTGAGTTATCTAAGTCCTTGAAATAAGTAGAAATGACTCTTGAGAGTTTGTGAATACATGTTAACCATATGGCCTTCTCTGCCATTAAAGGCACTAATGTGCAAGAAACATAGATTAGCATTATTAAGTTTATCAAGAACCTTAAAATTTTTCCCAGCAAAAGTGAAACATTGGAAGGGATTAAAAAAATTCTATTCTCCTTTTAAATAGCAGTACTGTGATGTATAATGCAGTCCTTTCCTCAGTGAGTCATCTTATAGTTCTTGGCTTAGCATCAGTGAAAATGTTCTTTTTAATCCTACCACCTTCAGAATTTGTTGAGAATTAGAATCTATGATTCCTCAAAAATTTTGAAATAAGACTATATAGTCAAATAACTAGATAATATTCTTGATTCAATGAAAATATTTATATGCAGTGAAACATAAAACAAATTATTGGTTGTATTGCTACATTTAAATAATTTACTTAAGTAACTAAAATATAATTAAGAATCCCCAAATTGTTCTAGACAACTATTTTAGAATCAAAAAGTACATGATCATAAGTACTTGAAAGTATAATAAAATTAATTTATTTAATTATCTGTACATCCATAATAAAAGTTACTAGTTTGCTAACAAGAATGATTTTTAACAAGGGTGATCTGGTTTAAACAGCTATGATTTCCTGTTTCCATTATTATTTAAAAATACATATTGACATTTATTTTTAAGGACACAACAGAGCTGAACCAGTAAAGCGCATGTCATGATAAGCACTAATGAGAAAATATGAGACCACTATAATCCCCAAATTACTGAATAAGGGAAACAGTCTGAGGGATATTATTAAAAATCAACTTAAGTACATATTGGATTTGTGAAAGGTCTATGTAAACATAACTTGAATTTAACTTAAAAAAGGAAATACAAAAACATTCTATAATTCCTCCCAAGAGACTTATTCAAATATGAGTTTAAGTAATAGCTGCAGGGCAGGGGCCGATGAAGCCAGGCATGGTGGTGCATTCACCTGCAGTCTCAGCCCTTTGGGAGGCAGAGGTAGGAGGATCACTTGATGCCAGGAGTTTGAGGCTGCAGTGAGCTGTGACTGTACTACTGTACTCTGGCCTGGGCAACAGAGTGAAACCCTATCTTAAATTTTTTTTTTTTTTTTTTTAAGATGGAAAAATTCACAGAAGAGGCACTAATCAATCATCAAATGTAATTTTCTTCCCCTGAAACACAGCAATGTTAGACTGCTGTTCTTTTCGCCTTCTGCTTGCTTCCCATGAAGGATGAAGAGGCAGCGGCAATTGCTGTTTCGTATTTTCAAGTTTTCTTTGTAGTTTCTTATTAAAATGATTCTTGATCTGAGGTTCATTCTGTGGAAAATCTAGGAAGAGAAAGCAAAAATAACTAAGTATATACCTAAAGAGCATACAGGAGAAGTACATTCATCTTTTTCAAACCAACATTAAAAAACGAAATTTTGATTTCTTAAATGGAATATTTCACAATTTAAAACTGAAGTCCAACAGGGAATAGTCTGAAGTTGAAAATTTACAAATAAGCAGTCAATTTTGAACACAAGATTTCTTTTTTTTTTTTATATTTATTTATTATACTTTAAGTCCTGGGGTACATGTGCAGATTGTGCAGGTTTGTTACATAGGTATACACATGCCATGGTGGTGGTTTGCTGCATCGTCACCCTGTCCTCTACATTAGGTATTACTCCTAATGCTATCCCTCCCCAATGCCCCCACCCCCTGCTATTCCTACCCAAGCCCCCCCCCCACACCCTGGTGTGTGATGTTCCCCTCCCTGTGTCCATGTGTTCTCATTGTTCAACACATACTTAAGAGTGAGAACATGTGGTGTTTCATTTTCTGTTCCTGTGTCAGTTTGCTGACAATGATGGTTTACAGTTTCATCCATGTCCCTGCAAAGGAAATGAACTCATCTTTTTTTATGGCTGCATAGTATTATATGTGCTACATTTTCTTCATCCAGTTTATCATTGATGGGCATTTGGGCTGGTTCCAAGTCTTTGCTATTGTAAACAGTGCCACAATGAATATACATGTGCATGTGTCTTTATAACAGAATGATTTATAATCCTTTGGGTATATATCCAGTAAAGGGATTGCTGGGTCAAATGATATTTCTATTTCTAGATCCTTGAGGAATCCCCACACTGTCTTCCACAGTGGTTGAAGAACAGTGTAAAAGCGTTTCTATTTCTCCACATCTTCTCCAGCATCTGTTGTTTACTGATTTTTTTAATGATTGCCATTCTAACTGGCGTGAGGTGGTTTATCTCAATGTGGTTTTGATTTGCATTTCTCTAATGACCAGTGATGATGAGCTTTTTTTCATATGTGTGTTGGCTGCATAAATGTCTTCTTTGAAAAGTGTCTGTTCATATCCTTTGCCCACTTTTTGATGGGGTTGTTTTTTTCTTGTAAATTTGTTTCAGTTCTCTGTAGATTCTGAATATTAGCCCTTTGTCAGTTGGGTAGATTTTAAATGTATTTTCCCATGGTTTTGGTTGCTGGATCACTTTATTGACAGTTTCTCTTGCTGTGCAGAAGCGCTTAAGTTTCATTAGATCCCATTTGTCTATTTTGGCTTTTGTTGCCATTGCTTTTGGTATTTTAGTCATGAAGTCCTTGCCCATGCCTATGTCCTGAATGGTATTGCCTAGGTTTTCTTCTAGAGTTTTTATGGTGTTAGGCCTCATGTTTAAATCTTTAATCCAACTAGAGTTAACTTTTGTATAAGGTATAAGGAAGGGATCCAGTTTCAGCTTTCTGCATATGGCTAGCCAGTTTTCCCAACACTGTTTATTAAATAGGGAATCCTTTCCCCATTCCTTGTTTTAGTCAGATTTGTCAAAGATCAGATGGCTGTAGTTTTGCAGCATTCTTTCTGAGGCCTCTGTTCTGTTCTATTGGTCTATATATCTGTTTTGGTACCAGTACCATGCTGTTTTGATTACAGTAGCCTTGTAATATAGTTTGAGGTCAGGTAGCATGATGCCTACAGCTTTGTTCTCTTTGCTTAGGATTGTCTTGGCTATGTGGGCTCTTTTTGGTTCCATATGAAGTTTAAGGTGGTTTTTCCCAATTCTGTGAAGAAAGTCTTTGGTAGCTTGATGGGGATAGCATTGAATCTCTAAATTACTTTGGGCAGTTTGGCCATCAATGAGATTGATTCTTTCTAACCATGAGCATGGAATGTTTTTCCATCTGTTTGTGTCCTCTCTTATTTCCTTGAACAGCGGTTTATAGTTCTCCTTGAAGGGGCCCTTCACATCCCTTGTTAGTTGTATTCCTAGGTATTTTATTCTTTTTTTAGCAATTGTGAATGGGAGTTCACTCATGATTTGGCTCTTTGTTTGTCTATCATTGGTGTATAGGAATGCTTGCTATTTTTGCACATTGATTTTGTATCCTGAGACGTTCCTTAAGTTGCTTATCAGTTTAAGCAGATTTTGGGCTGAGATGATGGGGTGTTCTAAATATACAATCATGTCATCTCCAAACAGGGACAATTTGATAACCTTTCTTCCTATTTGGATAGACTTTCTTTCTCTTGCCTGATGGCCCTAGTCAGAACTTCCAATGCTATATTGAGTAGGAGTGGTGAAAGAGGGCATCCTTGTCTTGTGCCAGTTTTCAAAGGGAATGCTTCCAGTTTTTGCCCATTCAGTATGATGTTGGATGTGGGTTTGTCATAAGCAGCTCTTATTATTTTGAGATATGATCCATTGATAACTAGTTTATAGTGAGTTTTTAGCATAACGGGCTGTTGAATTTTGTCAAAGGCCTTCTCTGCATCTATTGAGATAATCATGTGGTTTTTGTCTTTGGTTCTGTTTATGCGATGGATTATGTTTATGATTTGCAGATGTTGAACCAGCCTTGCATCTGAGGGATGAAGCCAACTTGATCATGATGGATAAGCTTTTTGATGTGCTGTTGGATTCAGTTTGCCAGTATTATTATTGAAGATTTTTATGTCAATGTTCATCATGGATATTGGCCTGAAATTTTCTTTTTTAGTTGCATCTCAGCCAGGTTTTGGTATCGGGATGATGTTGGTCTCATAAAATGAGTTAGGGAGGATTCCCTCTTTTATTATTGTTTAGAATAGTTTCAGAAGGAATGGTATCAGCTCCTCTTTGTATCTCTGGTAGAATTTGGCTGTGAACCCATCTGGTCCTGGATGTTTTTGGTTGGTAGGCCATTAACTGCTGCCTCTACTTCAGACTTCATTATTGGTTTATTCAGGAATTCAACATCTCCCTGGTTTAGTCTTGGGAGGGTGTAAGTGTCCAGGAATTTATCAATTTCTTCTAGATTTACTGGTTCATTTGCATAGAGGTGTTGTAGTAATCTCTGGTGGTAGTTTGTATTTCTGTGGGATTGGTGGTGATATCCCTTTATCATTTTTTATTGCTTCTATTTTGAATCTTCTCTCTTTTTTAAATTAGTCTGGCTAGTGGTTTATCTATTTTGTTTAAAAAAAAAAAAACAGCTTCTGGATTTACTGAGTTTTTGAAGGGTTTTTTTGTGTCTCCATCTCCTTTAGTTCTGTTTTGATCTTAGTTATTTCTTGCCTTCTGCTAGCTTTTGAATTTGTTTGATCTTGCTCTTCTAGTTCTTTTAATTGTGACATTAGGGTGTTGATTTTATATCTTTCTTTGCTTCTCTTGTGGGCATTTAATGCTATAAACTTCCCTCTAGACACTGCTTTCAATGTATCCCAGAGATTCTGGTACACTGTCACTTTGTTCTCATTGGTTTCGAAGAACATCTTTATTTCTGCCTTCATTTCATTATTTATTCAGTAGCCATTTAGGAGCAGGTTGTTTAGTTTCCATGCAGTTGTGAGGTTCTGAGTGAATTTCTTAATCCAGAGTTCTAATTTGATTGCACTGCGGTCTGAGAGGCTGTTATTATTTCCGTTCTTTTGCATTTGCTGAGGGGTATTTTACTTCCAATTATGTGGTCAATTTTAGAATAAGTGCAATGTGGTGCTGAGAAGAATGTATATTCTGTGGTTTTGGGGTGGAGAGTTCTGTAGATCTCTATTAGGTCCGCTTGGTCCAGATCTGAGTTCAAGTCCTGGATATCCTTATTAATTCTGTCTAATTGATCTGTCTAGAATTGACAGTGGGGTGTTAAAGTCTCCCACTATTATTGTGTGGGAGTCTAGATCTTTTTGTAGATCATTAAGAGCTTGCTTTATGTATCTGGGTGCTCCTGTATTAGTTGCATATATATTTAGGATAGTTAGCTCTTCTTGTTGCATTGACACCTTTACCATTATGTAATGCCCTTCTTTGACTCTTTTGATCCTTGCTCGTTTAAAGACTGTTTTATCAGAGACTAGGATTACAATCCCTGCTCTTTTTTCCTCTCCATTTGCTTGGTAAATCTTCCTCCATCCCTTTATTTTGAGCCTATGACACACACACTTTCTAACCCTTATAAGTAGATACTTATTGAGTGCCTCTTAATTTATGCCATGCTGTCTTATTTATAATAACATAAAGAAAGGAATCACATTGTTGTACTAGCATAGAAGGTAAAAGAAAGGCATCTGGTATTTTCAAAGGAACATCTTTAGCTTATGATATCTGTGCTCATGAAGCAGATGTAGCTAGAAAATTCACATCTTAGCTAAGACACTCCACTGGGTCCAACAATACTGATAGTGTTTACTTATTTTGAAGGGCTACAAATTGATTCCACTGCGGTCTGTTATTGAACCAAAAGTTGTTATTACAAGGAAAATTACTAAGTCTACTCAAGAAAATAAGACAAAGTTCTTTTTTAGTTGTAACGTTATTCTCCAGTTACAAAGGTGGCAACTTGTATTCTAGTCCTTATAGTATCTTATCACTTTACATATTTTGAACCAAGTCTTATTTGGAGAAGATACACTAGCATGAAAAGACATAAATCAATGCACATTTTAAGTAATCAGAAAGAAAAAGAAAGACAAAAAACTTAATATAGACTTATTAATCAGTCCTAGGAGTATGTAATTTCTCCACTGCAAGTTAGACATCATTGTCAGAAGCTTTTTAAAGACCTCTTTAAGAAAACGAAATATTTTACATAAACCAGGGTATAGTTTGGAATAATATTTACAAAACATTATGGAGACAGAAATCAAAACATCCCTTATCTTACACAAATCCCATGTGCTCTAGAAATCTGTTATAATGTTCAAAGAGTGGCTCTAGTGATGAAAGGTTTAAAAAAAAGATTTCATGAAAACCGAGATTTGAATAAAGCAGTATTTCTAAATGAATATATTATTTTATATATTACATAAATTAGAATTGTAAATGTAGATAAACTCGTAAATATTTTAAGCATACAAACTAAGCACAAAAAAAACCCTTTACTTGGATATTCTCACTGTGAAAATGTAGGTATGTCTTATATTGACAGTTATCCAATGTTTATGAATATATGGTATAAATGGGGCATATTGACATGGTTCTGCCAAATCCTGTATTATCTTCCTTTTTGGCATACAATTAGAATGCATTTTCCATTCCTGCTGCAGTTACGTGACATCCCACGGCTGAGTTATGGCTAATAAAATGTGAGTAAAAGGCCTGAACCATAAAAACCTCACATTCAGTCTTCCATTACTTCTCTATCACTGATGAATGAGGAGGATCCAGAGGAGGGAAGAGGCACAAGATAGAATAAAACTCTGAGGGGCAGACAGACTGATGGATGACAAAACACTGAGATTTAGTAGTTACCTGTTAGAACAGGTAGTTTACTATGAATGATACGAAAATTGGTACTCTGAAGTACCATTTCAGTAACATAAAAATTTGGCATTGGCTTAGCAGTTCAGCGGTAGGTAGCAAGGAAATAGATATCTGAGAACGGGAAGTAAGGAACTTATGTGCCAAAGAAATAGGGAAAGCTGTTGTCAGTGATTACTTGGCGTAGGCCACAAGCCTATGGAGTCTGCAATACAAAGGTAACTGGTGGGAAAGAATAAAAATATCAGTATATTACTGGCTGTCCTTGACAATATACTATACAAAAGGGAACAGATGGAACAGAAAGAATCCAGATATTTGGGAACTCAATGTTTAGAAAATCCTTTGATTCCCAAACAGTAGGCTACAAGACTAAGAAAAGTTTTAAGTAATTAATAAAGGCACACAGCAACTCAGTCCTAGAGCAGAGATAAGACTAAATGTATGGCTACAATTCCCATCCAAACCTGATAATTCTCAATGCAGTTGATGCTGAATGAGAGTGGGAGTGGGAAAAACAAAACAAAACACAATCAAACATAAATACGACAAGTTTGAGAACTAGCTCTAGGAAAGAATTTCCAGTACAGCAGATAGCTTACAGATGGACTCAGGGAAACGGAGGTCAGAAATCCACTGAGTTTTTGAGAAAGTGTATAGTGAAAGAAATCACAAACCTGGGATAGAAAAAAAACCTCTGTTGAACTTTGTACAAATCTTCATCACTTTATACTAGGGACTTGGGGGGCAAACTCCAAAGAGATCATGTTAAATACCCACTTCAGATGTGGCCATGAAACAAAGACCCTTCCTAGACAGGACCAAGAAGAATAATGGATAGGGAGGTTACTCTCAGAGGCTTCGTAATCTTTGCTCAGCAGAATTTCAGGTAGTATATCTGTTGTGTGCCTTCCATTTTTCACTTAACCAATCAAGAGTTTTTATCGTCATTACCTTATCCCTGTTCTGCTACTCTACATGTGGTATATCATGGTATGAATTTCTTTTTGGTATGAAAGTCACCAAACTTTGAGGAATCCCACCCATGAGATTTGATGGAAAGTACTGCATCATCAGTGATCCTGGACTTTGAGCTGGATGCAGTGACTGGATGTGATTTCGGGTTGGCTTTCTTGGGAAGGAGGTCAGTGTGCTCTGTGTAGGAGGAAATGTGAAATAGGCATCTGGTGACAGAAAGAACTGTCACTGGCAGAAACAGTTATGTGTTCACGAAATTCCACTTCCTCTTTTCTCCTAGATATATAGTAAGACTACATTTCTTAGCTCCTTTGTTGCTAGATGGGGTCATGTGACTGAATTTGGGTTAATGATATGTGAGCAGAACCGACTTTTGCTACTTTCAGGCCTGGCTCATAAAAACCTACAAAATTCTCCATGTACTCCATTCCCTTCTATTGGCAAATGGAGAATATTTGGAACCTGGAGGAGGAAGGAGCCAAAAGATGGAAGAAACCTGATCCTTAAATGACTATGTAAAAAAGTGCCTCTCTAATTCATCAAATGGACTGTGATGTAAATGAGAAATGAACTTTTGCTATGTTAAGTCAGTGAAAGTCTGAGATTATGTGAGAAGTTGGTGTACCCAAATATACTAAACTTAGATTTGTTATGAATTAATCTGAAAATATTCTGATTATACTCTTACCCAAGAAAGTAATATACTTGTTATTCAATGTTTAATGGAGTGGCATTAGTAATTAGACCACTAATAATTAAGATATAACTTACATAGTTTACTTAAAAATGTGTTAGTTTGAGATAAGTTAAATAGACATAATATTTCCTGATAAACTTTGTCTGTATCTTTCCCTCTGGCAGGACACAGAAAAAAAGAAAACCAACAACAAAAAATTATACTGATAATTATAAGATGCTCTGTTAATATTTCTGTGGGTACATCATTCATTCAGGCTATATTAAGCAACCACAATTTTTCATTCCTTCACTTTGGCAAAACATAGCTTAATTGTATATGGAGGTCAGGCAACTGTGAATACATACCTATGGATCTGGTTTTTGGAGCCTGTTCTTTGTAATTTCTAAAAGAAGAAAAGCACCATTATGACTTTTTAAAGATAAATCCTCTGATCTTAAGAGCATAACAAAACTGATGATAAAACTAATTCAAAGGCTACTATACTCCTTAGTCACACCAGCAAACAATAAAATAATTATGAAAGCCCCAAGTTTTAGCTGTATCAAACAAAAGTTTGTTAGAATCCAATGCTACTACAGGCACATGAGGACCTATTTCTCTCACCACCCTTAAAGAGAATTCTGTTTGTAAAGAAAATATCTTATCTTGGTTACTTTGCCTTTACTCTTGGGGACTATCTTGATAAAGAACTCATATAACAAAAGCTAAGATTTACATTTTGGCTGGCCGTGGTGGCTCATGCCTGTAATCCCAGCACTTTGGGAGGCTGAGGCAAGTGGATCACAAGGTCAGGAGTTTGAGACCAGCCTGGCCAATATAGTGAAACCCCATCTCTACTGAAAAAAAAAAATACAAAAATTAGCCAGGCGTGGTGGCGGATGTTGTAGTTTCAGCTACTTAGTAGGCTGGGACAGGAGAATTGCTTGAACGAGGTAGGCATAGGTTGCAGTGATCACGCCACTGCACTCCAGCCTGGGTGACAGAGGGAGACTATGTCTCCAAAAACAAAAGGATTTACACTTTGTGGTATGCCGTTTTCATATAGGAAAAAAAATGTAGCTTTTGGAAGCAAGTTTGGAAAATATAAGTAAATATTTTACTTATTTCAATGCTCCACACATTTTTATGTCTTTGCCACACTGTGACATTTTTGAAAATTTTCTATATCACATTTTTCTATTTCAATAAAGACTATCCCAGACTTGTAAATAAACGCAAAACAGTTTATAGCTGTTACTGAAGAAATTAGCTAACCATGGTCTTCACTCTAAAATGTGAAGATATTCTTTATCAAATTGGAATTACAAATAAAGTTAAATTTACTGATTTATAACAGAACAGCTATGAAAAGTGGTGAACAACAGGATGGAGATAGCAACATCATCAAATAAAAAGCAGTCTGGAGAAACTCAGCTTAAGGGCAAGGAGCCTTATATACTGAAATGGGATTAGACAGTAAAATGATTGATGTTTACAATAATGGTCCTGGGTCATCATGAAAAAAACACCATATTCTTTTCAGAAAGTTCTGTTGAAAAAGATATTTAAAATATTTTCAAAAGTTTTTCATTAAAAAGGATTTCAAAATTTCAAAGCTGTGGTAAATGAAGGAATAAAATTAAATTAGCCTGGATATTATTTGGCTATAGCGTCTTGTTTTTTGATGAAACTGGACAAATGTGGCATTGCCGTTATGTATATCTGTACCTAATATATAACCTATAACCCTGCAGAGGGCCAAGTCTAAAAATAGGATGGGTTGTATAAACTAGAATTATAATCTCTTCGTGTATGGACATATAGCTATTTCTAGCATTTTAAAAAGGAATTAATGATTATTTTGCCATATGTGTATCTGTACGTAATATCCCATTATAACCTTGGAGAAGGCCAAGTCTAAAAACAGGATGGGTGGTACAAACTAGAATTATAGTCTCTTCATATATGGGCATGTAGATATTTCTAGCGTTTTAAAAAGGAACTAATTATTATTTCAGAATAGGAAAAAGAATCTTACCTTCTAGAGCTTTTAGATCCAGATAAAGAGTGGAAAAACACTGATTCCAACTTTCTGGTTTCCGTATCTGGCTTGGTTGTGTCATTTCTTGTATCCCCTTGAGTTTCACCTGTATATTCTTTAAGTAATGCTTTTTCAAGTGGTTTTTGTTCCTTAACTGAAGAATGACAACTACTTTCCTTCTTTCGTGTCCGTCTGACTTTACCAATGAAAAAGTCGTCACCACTATCACTATCTTCAGACATGGAAGACTGTTTGTAAAATCTTTCTTCTGTGCTATCATCAAAATACTCCTTCTCCTCTTCACATGATTCTTCTCCGCCATCACTGTTACCACAGAGTGAGCTATCAGATCCTTTGTTTTTTTTGGTTTGACTTAGTGTTTTCAGTTTTGGGTCAGCAGGTGTCTTCCGGGACTCTCGGGAAACTACAGAATCCTTTTCTGAAGGCTTTGATGGAGAATTTAGAATAGTCACAGCTTTAGCTCTATGTTCTACCTTGGTTATTTTTTCTTTTGAATTATGTGTTGGTTTCTTTGCCAGTATTTTGGTTTCTTTCACTTTTTGCTCACTGATAATAATTCCTTCATGCTGTGAGTTATTTCCATTATCATTTATATACAAAGTATTCTTAGAATGAATGTCCTCTGAAGCATTCTTTGATGACTCAACTTCAGCAACATTTTGTCTTGCATCCTTAAAGGCTTGGACAGCAGCTGTAACAGAAACAATGCATGATTTATTTTAGCAGTGAAACATACGAAACATGACTGTTTTAGAGCACTATTTTAAAAATTATTTGAAAAGATTTAAGAGGGCAATTGGAATTGATATTAAGTACATATAATGGGTCTGAATTCATAAAGAAATCTTTCAACTTCTTAAAAACCAAACATAGTGGCTCATGCCTGTGATCCCAGCACTTTGGGAGGCCGAGGCAGGTGGATCACGAGGTCAGAAGTTCAAGACCAGCCTGGCCAAGATGGTGAAATCCCGTCTCTATTAAAAATACAAAAATTAGCCGGGCATGATGGTGTGTGCCTGTAATCCCAGCTAGTCGGGAAGCTGAGGCAGAGAATTGCTTGAACCTGGGAGGCGGAGGTTGCAGTGAGTGGAGATTGTGCCACTGCACTCCAGCCTGGGTGACAGGGCGAGACTCCATCTCAAAAAAATCAAAAAACAAAAACAAACAAATCTAACATACGATATGCTGAGACGTATTCATTTTAAATTGTGAAAATGAAAAGAAAATCCTTTCTTAATGTCTTGGAGTTATGAAGAACAGTAAAAACGTCACAGAATACAAACAAATAAAATGGCAACTTTAATTTCTGTAGTAATAGTGCATGGAGTATTATAAATTGTGCTTTCAGACATAAAAATCAATGCAAGATGTGACAAAAACATTTCATTTTATAAATATTATTTTATAATAAACGCATATAAATGTAAATTATCTAAGTGGCAAAACCGAAAGTAATGAGTTACATCACTATTTAAAAAACTATTCATCTTTATCATGTATATATTATATATAAAAACATATATTATATATTCATATATTATGAATTTATTAAAAAATACAGATTTGGTTTTTCTTCAGAGATTATAGATACTTTCTGTATTTTCAGAAACCTTCCACATTGGTAAATATGTGAAAGAAACTTACATTTATAATAGATCCTCAAGAATTAAAAGAACCATAAAAATATTTAAAAGTAAGTGATTGCCATTAGCCAAAGTCTACATATACATTAAGTACATTGCTTAAAAGTCATTTAATTCATACCTTTTAGGACATCTATCTTTTTCTTCAGAAGAGGATGTACTGCTAGTCTGGCAATTGCTCTTTCAGTTGCAGTAGAATCTGGCTGCAAATTAATGTTAGGAAATAAAGACACTATTGAAAGTGAATAAAATAAAATCTATCATAGTCTTTAAAATTAGAGTTGGAGAATAGAACCACTTAATATTCTCCTTAGATAACTTATCTGTATAATCCATCCATGCTAAAGACAAAGATCATTCAGACAAAAATATTTCTGACTGAACAATTAAAATTATTACTTAATCATTAATAAATATTCTTTGGATACTTAATTGTAATAAGCACCATGTGTAACATTAAAAAAAACATAGCTTTTACTATCAAAGAACTTAACTGATCTAATTTAGAAAACTAAATATCAAGGAATGAAATTGACATATTAGTGCTAACCTGTGTGAGACTACTGTAATATTTGAAGTCCCATTTAACAGAGACCTAGAAATTATCTAATGTTCTTTATTTCTATTTTAAATGTCTGTCATCACGGCCACGTTCTCAGGGCCTGGAACAATGCTTGGATCATAGAAAATACGTTATAAATATTTGATGATGACTGAATGGGGATATTATATACAATATTCAATATATTTATAAATTTTGGAAACATCATAATGCCAGCTAATTACTTGAAATGATATATGAAGGCTGACATCTAAATTTCTACCTCGTGCTTCAACCTGAGCTCTAAGCTGATACATCAAACCACCTAACTTGACATCTATTTGACATTGTCACAACAGAATTTTTTGCTTTTTTTTCTCACCAATCTGTTTCTCCTATAGCTTTTCTATCTTATTGTATGTGATTTCCATTCTCCTGGTTGCTCAGGTCTAAAACTCTTAAGGATTCTTTTCCAATATTTCTCTTCCTCAAAACTCACAATCCATCCCCTGTGATTCCAAATGTAAAATATAACCAGAACCAGTCACTTCTCACCATTTCTAATTCTTACTACCTTTGCCTAAATCACCAACACCTCTCACCTGGACCAACATAATAAGCTTATACCTGGTCACTTTCCTTTGCAACTTGCTCTCTTAACAGTCAATTTTCCAGGTAGCAGCCACAGTAATTTTAAAAAATATACTCAAATCATGCTAATCCCATATCTGTTCTTCTTTAAGCTTTACTGTCTTAAGATGCTTAGGCCATACCATTGCAATCTCTTCTTTACCTGGAATACTCTGCTCCCAAATATATACATGGCTGATCATCTCACTGTATTCAGGTCTCTGTTCAGGTGCCATCTCAACTAGCACAACACTTCCCATCACTATTTACTTCACATCACTTAGATTTTCATATCCATGAGGCAGAGACTTTGTTTGTCTCATTGCTGTAGATTCAATGCCTAGAATAGTAACTGGTAATAATAGTAGGCACCCAATATAGGTTTAATAAAGCAAGTCAGTAAATTTCACTAGTGTGTGAAAGTAGAACAACCAGTATCAAATGTCTTTATTCTAAATTTTGCCTTCATTGTGAATAGTCAAATATATGACATTTCCAACCCAGTAATATAAATGTATGGATACCAAAATAAAAACAAGATGATGGCAGTATGCAAGCTATTCTATTTGGAGGATTTATCTGAGTAATGTCACTCAGAAAATAATTTATTTAAATTACACCTGGTGTAAATCCTGTGCCAGGAATACCTGCTATTTAATTACCTTGGGTACTAGGTTGAATAACATCCCCCCAAAATTCATGTCCAAAATCTGGACACTTGGAATGTGAACTTAGTTGGAAATAAAACCTTTGCAGATGAAATTATTATGGAATCGCAGTGGATCAGGGTGGTCCTAAGTCCAGTATGACTGGTTTCCTTATAAAAAGAAGAGCATTTAGATATAGGGGCACAGAGGGACATAGTGAAGACTATATGAAAACTAAGGCAGAGTTATCCTGCCGTTAGCCACCAGTAGCTGGAAGACGCAAGGAAGGCTTCTCCTCCGGAGCTTTCAGGGAAAGCGTGGCCTCACTGACATTTTAATTTCAAGCTTTCACCCTCCTCAACTGTGAGAAAATAAATTTATGTAGTTTTAAACCACTCAATTTGTGATACTTCATTATGGCAGCCTCAGGAAACTGATATACCTCTATTTTGACTATTAGACATAGCTTCTGTTCAGTCTTTTCCAAGAAATGTAGTCTACCTATAGACCATTAAGTACAGCACAAAGTGAACCTCTGTTTCTTCAGCCCACTGCTGGGTTTCCTGATATAAAACAGGAAAGACAGAAGAGAATTTAGGAAGGAAGCCTGCTGCTAGTATCCCAAGTCACTTAGTGACAAGCTGGGCTGCTGAAGGCATAGGTCAAACATGGTTGCCAGAGTATTAAAAGCTAGAATATAAAAACCCCAAAGAAGAACACGACCTTTTCAGGCTAAAAAGACTGAAAACAATATATGAAAATAGAGAGTCATATCAGTATATTGAGACCTACAAGATTTCAAATAAAAAAAAACAAGTCACTGAATAATAACCTAAAAAGAAACGGTACACAGATCAGAATGGTTCCAGACTTTACTTCTGGAAGCCAAACTACAGAGCAGCGAATGCTTCTAAAATTCTGAAGGAAAAGAATTTTCAACCTAGGGAGGAAGAAAAATACTTCCACATGCAATTTTTTTTAAAAATTTACATCCCTTGTACACTTCTGTCCAAGAAGCTACTGGCTCCACTAAAATGAAGAAGGATACAAATAATAAGAAAGGCATAGGAGACAAGAAACAGAAGACCCAGGCAGGAGTAATTTCCCAGGATGATGGTGACATGAGACTTAGGTTTGGGATACTTGGTGTGTTGAATATCTGGAGAGGACATGTCAATAGCAGATGGACAGTTTGGTGTTACACTAGAGATAAGACAAAAAACTAACAAAATAAACCTATCACAAACTAGAAAACGAATATGCAGAAAAAGAAAATAATCACTCAGTACATGACTCACAGTCACAATAACATAATCACTAAATCTTCATCAAATCTGATTCAAGTATATAAGGATGGAGGGTTACGGAGGAGGATACATATATGACTTAGATGCTGGAGAAGAAAAGAGGTCTAAATCCTTACCTGCCACAACATAAAGTTAACAGCTAGTGCTTAAGATGAAAAAGTTAACACAGTACTAATAACATAATATAAACATCTTGCTGTAGGGGTAAATTCTCTATGAATTAACTGCAATTGAGGCAGGAAAGGAATAATAGAGTACTGCCATTTTTACAAAAAAAAAATATTTTAGAAGTATTTGATTTTCAAAACCAGGAATTGCAAATTGGCCCATGAGGGCAGTTCCAGCCTGCTGCCTGTTTTTTTTTTTTTTTTTTCAAATAAAGTTTTATGGGAACAAAGCTAAACTCATTCATTTATACACCGTTTATGGCTGCACTCATGGCACAATGGCAAAGCGAAGTAGTTGTGACAGAAGCTGTATGTCTTACAAAGGCATAAGTTTTAGGTCCTTTGCAGAAAAACTGTGATGCTTGCTCTAAATTACATGTGAGTAAATCCTAAAAAGAATCAGGAAGAAAGAAAAAATTGTGAAGCAGGCCTATGATGTTTAAAAATTTAATTTAAAATAAAAATACTACCACAATAGACTTCTGTTCCCAAATCAAAGCAACAGGTTATAGCTGTGCTCCAGATTGGTAACACAATTAGAAACAACTTGGTATTCAATGAAGAAGCATATGTTTCAATCCTCAGGATTAATTACAGAAGACTTCTATGTTAAAACAGTGACAACAAAAATGACTAGTCCTGAGAAATGTATTCCTCAGGAAACTGCCCTTCAGGTTATAGAAAAAAAGAAGATACTCCAGGAGTACCTGTTTATCTTTTAGTGCTGCTTTCAGTGTGCTTACCCCTTATAGTTTCTAAAAATCCACTTCAAAGTAATTCTCAATACATGAACAGATGTAAAACAGACATAAGAAATTCTGGGAATCCTAACCAGATTTTGATTAAAATGTATTCTAACAATTCAAAAACACATCTACTGCTGTTCCCAAATCCCTGCTTTGACAACTTGCTAAAATCTTTGCTGAATTGGGTATTTTTCTTTCCAGAGTTAGCTATATCTTCCCATCTTAGTTATAAAAAGTTTTAGAAGAGCAGTGGTAATACTTGCAGGTCCAGTGTTGACTCTGGGGAAAATGTTATTTTGTTAAGAATCATTTTATCATTAATTTTATTTAGTAAAACTGTTTCTCTGCTCTGGAAGATATCCCAGACTAACTCTGATTTAGTAATCTGATTTCAGTGAATATTATTTTTTCTGAAAGGCTCTAGAATAAGATTTATAATTCTATAATTATGTATGAATCTCATGAATGAAGATTTATTTTTATTTTTTCTAATTTCTTCTTTAACTGTCCTTTTACGTTGTAATCTTTGTGGAGGACTAATGGTGGAAGATTATCAAGTTAATAAAAGATGAGACTGACTTGAAAAGGGCCATCATATTGCATAATCCCAGGAGAGTCACTCACTCACAATGCAGTTGTCAAACTGGAGCTCTGCAGCCGTATGTAGCAGCAGTGAGTCAAAGGAGAACATAAAAGTTTGGGTCTACAGGGTATGTGGGTATATAAAATGAGTGGTTATATAGAATTATGTATACTATAGCTTTAAGTTCTATAATTGTATGCAATTTGTGTTTCTGAAGAACAACAACAGCTAATGCTACCAGCTGATAAAATAATATATATTATAAATAAATATTATAAAACTCTAAGATGTATTTTTTGTTTTATTTTAATTCACAATAATTATATATACTTATGGGGTACAAAGTGATATTAACACATGCATACATTGTGGAATGATCAAATCAGAGTAATTAGTGTATCTATCACTTCAAATATTTATCATTTCTTTGTGATGAGAACATTTCAAATCCTCTCTTTTAGCTATTTTGAAATACATTCTTAACTGTAGTCACCTTGCTGTGCTACAGAACACCAGAGCTTGGTCCTCCTTTCTTACTGTAACTTTCTATCTGTTGAGCAATTCTCCCTTTACCAGGTTCTA